CGGTAACTGTTTTTCCCAGAGATTTCACACTCTATTCTCGGAACATCCTAGAACCACCAAACCTTTCTATGCCAGAATAAGAAGCTACCAAGAAAAAATCAACTACACTATTCCTGAATGCCTACCAAATCACCCTCAGTTTACACCTCCTTGGCAAATAAAAAATCCCAGATGTCTTACCTCGCTTACCGCATTTGACAAACACTCAACGAATACTCACCTTATCAAAACAAGTCTTAGCAATATCCTCTGCAAATTCGATGGGTACTTACAAATTTTTACTGACGCCTCAAAGCTAGATGGAAGAACAGGAGCTGCTGTCAGTACACCCACATCTAGTAGTATGTACAAGCTTCCTTCAGAATCTTCTATTTTTTCAGCAGAGCTGTTCGCTCTGTACCAAGCATTAATATTTGCTAATTCCTCAACTTCTCAAAACTTTGTGGTTCTCTCAGACTCTCTTAGCTCTATATTCGCCTTACAACGCATCTTTTCCAACAACCCCTTGATCAGCAAAATAAAAGAGGAACTCTACTCTGCTCAGCTAAGGGGAAAAGACATCGTATTTATCTGGATACCATCTCACATAGGAATAAGCGGGAACGAGCAAGCAGACAAACTGGCCAAAGAAGCTGTGAATAGTGAAAGTGCCATACCGGTTCAATTATTATTGAGTAGTGACGTAAAATCGTTCATTAAAGCAAAAGTGTTCAGTGCGTGGGAATCTAAGTGGTCGTCTTGTTCTTCTAAACTCAGTGAAATTAAAAATAATGTGAAACCATGGTCATCACTCCCGCGAAACCGTAGTGATCAAATTTTACTAACCAGGCTACGTTTGGGTCATACACGACTAACACACAGTTATTTATTTAGCTCAAAAATAGAACCAAAATGTAGCCACTGCGACATCAAGTTGACGGTAAAACATATACTCGTAGACTGTCCTTTTCTTGCACCTCAACGTATTGAATCAAACCTCCCAGCTGGTCCAATATCTAACATTCTAGGTTCTGCGTGCGATATAAACAGTTTAAAAAGATTTTTGAAATCCATCAACATACTAAATTCTATTTAGTTATTCTTATATATTGTCATCTTTCTTTTGTATGTACTACACCAATTTGTAATCTTACAATTCGCTAATAACCTTTGTGGTTGATGCGACTTTTCTTCAAATAAAAAAAAAAAAAAAAAAATATGGCGTATTGTGCGAATTCGACCTAAAAGTTATTATGACTAAGGAAATCTACGTATTTTACAAATACCTTTTTATTAAGTTGAATTAACTTCAATTTCACGACATATTAGTTAACTTTACCTATTTAAAGAAATAATAACTTATAGGTTTTATAAAAAAATTACCTATAGGTAAATATAACATATTTAGGTCACGTTGTTCTGCACTTGAGATTTTAGACGTTTCACTTTACGATAAAAATCGGAAGTATAACGATATGATTTATTATTTTTCGAACTCATTTTATTAATTATTTTTCGCACTCATTTAAAGCTCTATCTACACCACACGTAAATTAAGATTACGACTGTAATGGTTTTTTTAAAATGGCCGAAATTCTTAAGAATGACGAAGACAGTAACTGAACAACCTAATTGTTAAAATAACCTAAATAATATAAATTTTATAAATAGGTCATGTATGACTCTTTTTAAATTGGTGGTTTTTAGTCGAATTTACTTTGTGGTAGATTTTTCAGGTAATTGCTACAACAAAGTTAATAAATATTTCTTCAAGATGACTTATAGGTCAACTAAATGAGTATTCGACTATTTGGTTGAAATTAGGTAGATAAACAGGTAGAATTTTGCTACGATCTCGACCTAATATTACTTTAAAGGAGAGTAAATAAAAGCGACCAAAAAGGTTACTATGGAGTAGAATTTTTAACCAAATCTACCTAGTTAAATATTCTACTATAAAGACGATTTTTAGTTGCAAATCAGGTAGATATTACCTAAATATAGCACCTAATTTTACTACAAAGGAAATTTAACTTTGAAGTAATTGTTGGTTATTTTTTTTAGTAGTTTTTCCCTTGCTGATATGGTTAAAGTTACTTTTAAGCAGATTTGTGTAAAAGGTAGATTTCTTGGTATAATTTACGTAAATTTAAATATAAATTAAAACCGTTTGGTAAATTTACATTAGAGGTATATTTTTCTAGTCAATTTTACGTAATAATTACCTCAATAAGTAAATTCGTCTTTAACAAAGTCGAGTTATAACTAATGTTATAGAAAATGTTTGCTGGGATATCATTCTCCTAAAAGGAGGCACCAGAACTGGCTTTTAATTTTGATAAAACTTTATATACAAAACAAAATTGCAAACGAATATTTTTGAAACCTTTGTTCAACGAGGTTTCATTTAATATTACATAAATGTTTTTGTAATTTCCAATTTACCCCTTACCAAAAACTGATTCCAAGATATATAATCTCTTTTCAATCTACACCCTAAGGTTTTTAAAACTTTCTTCCGAGATAAGTTGGGGGCATGATATTTTTTAAGAATTTTTCCGAAAAAATGTTAAAGAAACAAGTAACAATTTAGAATAATTTTTGTCACTAACTAAAAGAGCAAATTCATCGACTATGTCTTCTACTTTTTTTAGTAATCGTTTGTATTTGGGCCACTATTTACTACAACTGTTTAAAATTTGAATTGTGTATGTCAAATAATATATGCGTAAAGTGGCAGACATACACCCCAAGGTGATTCCATGTAATAATAATAATAATAATAATACTCGCCCTAATTCACCCCCTTACGAGTGAATTTTAACCCCAAAAGCTGAGGTTGAACGGGGAAAGGGACGGCTATTATTATTATTATTCGCCGTGGCGCTCCGGGGCGACTTAAAGATGATTGATGGTGCCATTTGACATACAAGTGAGGAAAACCCGGAAAATCTCACCCACCATCATCGAGACGGTAATGCATGGCGATTTTATAATCTGCTTGTCATATCAACAGAAATTGAATTTCTATTAATGCGGCACACATCAAATCATATACCTAACCATGCAATTTAATTAAAAACACACATGGTTTGTTCTGGGATTCGAAGCCCAGCAGTCTCTGACACATAAACTTGCTTATAAATGAATATAAGCGCGTTAGACTGCTACACCACCGACCCGATGTAGTGGATGGAACAGTAAAAAATAAAAGTGATGAAGAAACGGAGGAAACTTTGTTTAATTATAACACCATTAAGAGGATGCAGCTCTTAGCAACGAAAGGGTATTTAAAATGTTAAATAGTAAACGTACCTTTAGTTAGAGAATCTACAATTCAATTTTTATTCTGTAACACCCCATATAATAGAAGAATTACAAAATATTTGCAAAAAATAATACACCACAAAAAATAAATAGTGAAACATATTTATGGACAAAGCTATAGAATGTCTTGTAAACAAATCCTTGTCAAGATTGGGCCAACACTTTTATTGAGGAGTCTATTGCCAAAAAGCTTCAAAATGATATTTTAAAAGGAACAAATAAGAAAATGGGAACTTTTGAAAATGTTACTCCAATAGCAACAGGCTTGGATTCAACATTTTGCTGATGCAATACAAAAAAATATTGAGTTGCTTGAGAAAATTACACGACAATGGAATCTGATTATTCAGAAAGGTTTTCAGTCCTAGGACCGAGCAACAAAATGGTCCATAAAAGCTCGAAGGATAATAAAACTGAGACAACAACCTTTCAGATGAAATTTCAGTATACTTAAAAAAGCTCCGTTGGTGGAGTAAGCGGAATTCATTGGAAATATATAATGAATCAAAGATAGAATTCCCAAAATATATTATTGCCAATAAATATTTAACATTAGTCGCCACTTTTGTTCCATTATCCTCAAGAACTGGACAAACTGTGAATCAGTAAAGAAATAGACTCAATTTTCTGTAGTGTGTTATTTTTTTTAAAATGTATTTTATTGCTTTTTTAACTATTTTATAATGCTCTATTACTCTTTGGAAACATTAAAAAAAAAACAAATTAAAATATATAACGTGAAAGTCTAAATCCACTTAAGTTTTCTCTACAACGAGAGCGAATCAAATAATAAACAGCCTTCTTTTATGCTTCATGAGGTGAACGACCGCTCTAGTGGATCTAACCATCAAGGGATTGATTGGTCACACATATATTTTTTTAAATCCCATAGGAATTTTATGAAATCACTGCACCGTGCAATGTTTTCACACAGTGTGTTGGAAAAAAAGATGATTATCATTAGTTGAATTATAAATACGTTACAATCCCATTGCAATCACAAAAATGGGATATTTTAATATGCATTTTCAAATTAGTTTTTTCAAAATATTCAATAATAGATATGTAGAATAAAAAAATGAAATCGAGGTGCCTGTATTTATCTGTGTTCCTATCAATTTGTGGCCACTGTGGTCACCAGACCTAAATCCTTGTTGATTTTTCTTATGTGGATTTATTAGAGGAACATCATTATGTTGAAGTGAACAGCGACAACTTTGAACACATTATTTCAGTTACACAGGATCGTATTGGACGCAATTTGGAATAAATTAATGTAATCTTATTTTTAAGTTTTTTTTTTTTAAGTTATTAGCAAGTATAAACTTAGAAAATTGTCCTGTATACTTATTATTTGTGCCAAATTTTTAAAACAAAAGTAGCGTTCAAATTAATATGATTCAACACTTTTAAATCCAATGTTACGTGGTCAAAGTGTAATCCAGTTCTAACTCTACATAGAGTTTCCCACCTGAACTCACTTCATGAAGTGATTAAAAACTTTCCATAAATAAATAAATGCTTATATTTGATTCACCCTCGCACATTGACTAAACCCTAAAATAAACTACCAGTAGTGGAAATGTATCTAAAATAAAATTACGCAGTCTATCATATTTTTGTACAGAATAGTGAATACAAAATAATAAATAATCTATAATATACAGTCAATAAAATGTCTCAGTATCTCCTACCTTGCTAAGAAGCTGCGAATCAAGTTGACTATCGATTTCCTTTAGTTGGTTATCGAGTTTTTGTTTGGTCGTATCGTATGTGGTTTTGTTCGATTCATATTTCGCATATGACGGCATGTGGTATGATGAATCGCTTCCAGCATAGGAGTTGCTCGATCCGTACGCCGTCGAATTCGTCAAAACGCTACTCACTTAAAAATAAAAAAGATTTATGCAAAAACAACTTAAAATAACTTCCGGTGATTGTGATTTAATAATTATTATGAGGACAAAGGATATAATATGTAAGTAATGAATTATATATGACAAAAGGGACCATCAGTAAAGAAATGGCATTCTGACAAACCTAATTCTTCCCTGGATACTGTGGTACCCAGAACATGGTCAATATCTGCTCCTCCGAGACTAGGATGGGGCGTGTGATGAGGTGATCGACCCAGCATACTCGACATATCTTTGTCGTAGGTGTGTTTTTGTAGTACCCTGATCATTGCATCTTTTTCGGCCAATTTCGATTCTAAATCCTTCAATCTAAAGTAAGAAAATAATTGTTCGAATATTTTATGTTAGGATTTACTGAAAGTTAATAATAATTATTCTGGTATGGGATAATAAAAATAGAATTTTTGCTACCAATCAATCTCCCTTTAACCTGTTTCAAGTTGAGATTGTACCTTTTTAAAGTGGAATCCGATACCGTACCTGTATTTAATTAAAAATAAGTTGTTAGTGGGCGTATTTTAATAGGATCCCTTAATTGTAATTATTAAGAGTCTTACCTGGATTCTAAATCAGCAACTTTCTTTTGTGTTGCATGTACTTCATCCATATGTCGAATTTTTTCGTTTCTAGCTTCCGCGATTATTTTTTCAGTCTCTTGGCTAGTCTTCTCTAAAGCAGCTATCTTTGCGTCTCTGTAGAAAAGTATAAATATAAATCAAAACCTCAAAAAAAAAAGGGAATTAAAGATATTGATACCATTGACAAAATTCTGAAATCTTTTGAGTTCATTTCGAAAACCAAAGATTGTTATTTTTAACTAAATAAATACTGAAATTAAAAAAAAAGTGTCGAAAACACGACTTTTCGGTAAAATTATAAAATATATTTAGTACAATCCATCTAAACAGAGGTGTTTTGAATTTGAATTAAAGATGAACACTTGCCACAAACATTTTATTTAAAATATTGTTTAGACTTTTTCTCAAATTTATTAGAGAAATCATGTAAAAAGGATACGAGAATAACGTCACAAACAACTACTATTCAAAGAACTTTTTACTCCAATCATAAATAAAAGAAATACACTTTGAAACAGAAAATTACCACCTGCAAAGTACCAGATGCTCTGAGAATGGCCTAAATTTAATAGAATCTCTATAAGATGGATTAAAGCTTAAATTAAAAATTTGGTTTGTTTCTCTTCATCCGTTTTTGAGTTATAATGAATAGAGACACAAACAAATGAATTCAGGGGACTCCAAAACATAAATATCCATCGAAAACTCAAGTCCTATGCTTTTCTTAAAGTTACTGAAAAGTAAAAACGTTCAATTTAACTGGACAAATATACATACTTTGGTATGCTAGCAGCATCAATGGCAGCCTGACGAAGAGTGCTTTCCTCTAGGAATCTTTGTTCCCACTTGGCACATTCTCCTTCAAGCATCATTATTTTTTCGTCCCTTTCGCGGAGCCTTCGCTTCAATTCCGAGGCCGCTTCGTTGGCGGACATGTTGATCGAATCGCCTACCCACTCTCCTTGAGCGGCCACTTTGGCACGTTGCAACTCCCTTTCTAACTGTAAACGTAATTTTTTCTCTGTCTGCTCTCGTCTGTCGCTCGCCATTTGCATCGATGACAGAGTCCTCTGCAATTGAGCTACACGTTCCACGTAAACCTGTTTCTTGCGACACTAAAAACAAATTTGATTAGTTCCATATTTCTACATTTTTAAATTATTTGTATGTTATTGTCAATGTTATTATAAAATAAAGAAATAATTGGCATATTTACCTCTTCCTCTAGACGAACGACATTTCCTTGTGCATTTGTAAGAGCAGTGTCTAAGATATCAATGTGAGTCCTTTGTTCTTGTAATGTTGCCCGTTGGGCCGCCAATTCAATTTCCTGGCGCTCTTTTGCTGCTGACAGTTCTTTATCTAAAAACATCAAATATTTTAGATAAAGAAAAAATACATTTTCCTAAGAAATCACAAGAAATATTCTGAAAAAGCTGTTTTTAACACCAGCTAACTGCCCCGATAACTGCAGACGTTAATGTTATAAATAAATGCAACAGTTTTCTCATTATAGACCGTCAGATAGTGACAGATTTCTAATGAGAGACCGGTTTATTGTATTGCCGTCTTTCTATGCCATGGAAATTCAAAACAAAGATTTAGAAACGTCAAAAACTCTCACACAAAAAATATTTATATTTACTTTGAGAAATGAGTTGCTTGATCAGCCCCTCTTTCTTGGCAAATTCCCTCCGAAAATTTTCCGGCACTCCGTAATCCGGCATAGGCGAATGGGAAAGCATCTGATTAGATAGCAGATCTACCTGCTCTCGCAGAGCTTTATTCACCTCCTGATATCTGAGGCAGTCGGATTGAAGACGAGCTCTAGCGGCTCTTTCAAGTCGTTCGCGTCTCTCGCAAGATTGAACCAATTCCTCGTGTCCCTTGTGAACTTTTAAAATTTCTTGCTCCAACTAAAACATAACCATATTCTTAAATAAAATATTAACAAACATATCTATTAAATATTGATGTGTATATAAGTATAAATACCCCATTTACCCTCTGCGTTCTTTCTACTTTTCGATATAAGTTTTCCAATTCTTGTTTGAGAGCGCTATTTTCCTTAATTAAAATTTCAACAATCTCTGCTGAAGGCCAAATCTCATCTCCATTAGATTCGTTCTCCTCTCTACCCTTGGTGGGGGGCCTAGGAGCTGATACTCCTCTTTTAAAGAATGTCGCATCACTGTTCCTATTGGCAAAATAATAGTTTATATTTTGAAAAACTACATCAGAATTTACTTACTTAATGAGACCCACTGTGGTAAGATCCGGCTGTGATTTAGAGAGAGTCAATTTTTCTAAATTTATTTTGTTCCTGTTATTGATTTCGCGTTGCAACGGCGACTTTTCAGACCATTTGGGATATTCAGGAGGTGGTGTGGGTAGAGGAAGAAAACCGGAATTTAATTCGAAACGGCTAAGATTCTCGTGGTTATTCTGATCTTTAGTCGTTCCTTCAGGCGATGAAGGAACTTTTACTTCTTTGGCTAAGTGCTTCAGTACTGAAGATTGTGATAAGTAATCGTCGGGAATTTCAGTTATCTCCTGTACTCCTAAATATAAGTAATTTAAATGAATAAAGCATATAGAATATGAAGGGACAAAGTTTACCTGTACTAGACATAGAAGGAGATGGAGATGCAGAATTTCTTTTAGTCAGAGGCGATAATTTTGGGTCATTACAAAAACTTTGATGGTTTATAAAACTGGCGGATGTGATACTTCCATCTCTAGGACCAGAATTTCGTCCTAAAAAAGTATTTACTTATGTTATACTAAATAATTTGAGTTCTTTATACATTTGGTTTGGGCGCAAATATTTCAACAGGTGATAATTAAATAAAACCGAAAAAAAATCATGTTTTGAGTACTTTAAAACAATTCCGTTTCTTAAGTGTTCTTTACAACCACTAGGTACACTTCATGAACGGTTTTCAATATTAAAATTAATGCTAGGAAGTATACCTACGTTTAAAATAAACCGCGCATATAGAGCAGATTTCTAATGGCGAATGCCAATCTTAAGAGATATACATGACTTATTCAAAGGTGGAATCTACATCTATCAAGATGTAAAATTAAAAATACTTCTTATATTTATTTAAAAATTGTTGCTTTTTCATATTTTGTAAGTTTTGAAACCACTTAACAGGGTCTTTCATGTCTAATATAAAAGTTCTATACTGCATACTAGAAACAGTCTGTATAATCCAAATCAATTTATGGATCGTTTTTGATCAATTTAATTTAAATAATTAATGTTATCAGTCGATATTTTGACAGTATTGGAAGATCTTGCAGTTCAGTATAGAATAAACACGAGTTCTACTTATTTTGGCCGTAGGATATAATAAAATAAAAAAAAATTGTATCCATTTAAAAAATTGAAGATATTTGTTAATTCAAAATTTAAACATATTTTTTCTCACCCTGTATAATAAAGGATAATTTAATGATACTTTTTTCATCATAATTGAATTAGGAAACCTTAAAATTTGAGCTCAAATAAATATTATAAATACCGGCATGTTAGGAAAGACCTATTTACGTTTAGCAATTTTTGACAAAAATCCATTCATTAGTTTATCAGATTCAAATAGTGTTCCCGTCACTAGACATTAATTTTATCTGGACACCCTTCTTCAAATAAATCTTATAATCAATAATACAGCTGCTTAATACATTAATTATATTTTCATCAGACAATATTAGTCTTTTATTGTACCTACACACCCTAAAATTTTGACAAAGTTTGATGTTTTATAATTTTATGTTTTATCTTATTTTTACGACTTTTCTACCAGTTTGTAGATAAATTTATTGTGATTTTTTTAAATTATTGTAGCAAGTAACATTTTCCGTTTAGGCAATATTATACAGGGGTAAATCAAAATGTTGTTTTTTGTTGCTACTTCAAAACACCTTGTAGCAAAATTAAGAAGGATAATTTTGTTTACATACTATTTGCTGTAATCTCAGATGTATTCTGAACATTATCTCTGAATTTTTTTATTAAAACGCTGTAGGTACTGAAAAAACTCAACCAAATTTACCATAAAGAATAACAATGATGACTGAACAGTAAGTGTTGTTTACTTTTTTTAAGGGGGTATAAAAAAAATATCACTAAAGAACTTTAAAATGTACTTTATTATAATTTTGTGATCTACTGATCATTATCATACCTGTCCATGGTTCATCTCCTGCACTATGAATAATAAGAGTATTGTAAGAAGATGAAGAAACATCTAGAGAGCTTCGATTTGATGGCAAGCTATCACGTAAGGAGCTTCTTTTTGAATCAGTCAAATTTTCTTGACCCTGCGGTTCCTGGCGTGGTGTATGTCTTATCACATATTTTTCTTCGTTAGACAAATTTTCGTTTGAAGTGGATACATCCGTTTCACTACCACTTAGACTTTGTGGAAAGTTGGCTGTATTTAAACAAAATTTTAAATATAAACAATAAAAGCTAATTGTTATATTATTTTTACCTTGTGCCAGTTGCTTAAAGGATCTATATCTATTGTTTGATTGCATTTTTGGTGTAGTGTTTTAAATTGACATTCTTAAATCTGAAACAATGTTTTTTTACTTAAATAAGAGCTCCTTAATTAAAAAAAAATATGGTATAAAAGGCAAAGTATTTGATTGAATCAGTGATTACCTTACAGACAGAAAAGTAACCAAAATTAATGATTCTGTTTAACATTAATTGATATGGCCCCAGGGAAGTATTATAGGGCCATTGTTATTCTTAATCTATAATAATAATAGTTTATTTGTCCTTTAGAATCATGTTACATGATATAGGATAAGTCATAATATATATGAATAAAAAATACAAAAAAATATATATATATCTAAGACATGAACATTAAAAATATACAATTAGAAAAACATTTACCTTAAAATATGGTGGTATTCAGATAAATTGTAAAAACATGAATCTACTAAATAGTTTTTAAGTTTTCTTTTAAAAGGTTCATATTTCTTTTCAGATTTAATGAAATCAGGGAGTTGATTAAAAAATTTTATTCCAACAAATTCAGGCGATTTCTCAAATAATGCTCTTGAATGTCTTGGTGTTCTGAATAAATTTGCATTCCTAGTTGAGCATTCATGGTAATTTGAATTTTGTAAAAATTGGTGTATGGCGGTTAGCATATAGCAACTTTTTATAAATGTAAATACAGGGAAATGTTAATATTTTAAATTTTTTGAAGTTATATTTACAAGTTTGCATTAATTCTAGATTAAAAATAAGCCGGATTATTCTTTTCTGTAAGATAAATACTTTAGATGCATTGACTGTATCACCCCAAAGAATAATGTTGTATGATATATGAGAATATGCTAAAGCATAGTAGACATTAAGCAGTTGCTCTTGGGTAAATATTGATTTTAATTTTAGTATTGCACAGTATGGGCTGTTTAATTTTTTACAAACATTAGATATTTGGCTATCCCAGCCCATATTGCTATCAATATGTATGCCCAACAATTTTGTAACATCTGAGAGCATAATTTCTGTATTATTGACATTTATTTTACAATTCTGGGTATTTTGATTTCTGGAGCAGAACTGAAGACAAACGGTTTTGTTTGAATTAACAATTAAAGAATTTCTATAACACCATGATGTAAACTCATTAGATAAAACATTTAATTTACTAATTAATTCATCTAGTGATTGTGCGGTGGTGGCAATTGTTGTGTCATCTGCATATAAAATTATGTTTTCTGAGTTAATATGATTAGGCATTTCATTTATGTAGCATAGAAATATTAGAGGTCCCAAAATTGATCCCTGAGGCACACCCATATCAACACTTTCTAGTTCAGATTTACAATTTCCGACTTTGACATAGATCGGTCTGTTATTTATATAAGATAACAACCAAGACAAAAAGTTACCTCTAAAACCAAGCCCTTCCAATTTTTGAATAGCGACATCTAAGTTGATTGAATCAAACGCCTTTGATAAATCAAAAAATAGTATTTTTTTGTGGATACACTTTTCAAAGATTTTGCTTAAGATTGTAGGCACTGTAATAGGTCTATAATTATCAATTAAATTATTATCACCTTTTTTAAAGATATGAGTTACATATCCTACTTTCAGATAATCTGGGAAAATACCTAGCTGAATGAACTGATTGAATTTGAGAGATGTGATGACTAATACGTTTTATTATCTTTGTGGAAATGCAGTCAATGCCCATAAAGTTAACATTTTTTAATGAGTGAATAACTTCAATTACATCACGATGATCAACAGGAGAGAAGTAAAAGGTCTGAGAGACACATAATGCAGTAAAATCTTTAAAATTCAAATCATTGAAATGAGACTGTAGTGCTTTTTTTGTGGAGGTGGTGCCAAAATGCTCTGCAAAAACTTTAGCTATTTGTTTTGGTTCAATAATTGACAGTCCTCCTACTTCAATTTGTTTAATTTGAGAACCTTTTGATGTTTTACCATCTTGGTGATTTACCTGTTTCCATATATATTTTTGTTTCTGCTGAAAAGTTTTATTGCACAATCCCTTTTGAAAATGAGATCTTTTTGCTCCATTTATATTATTGACATATTGTCTCTTTGCTTCTTTGTATCTAATATGTATATTCACATCATTAGAATTTTTTACTAACCAAAATAAATTCCTTATTTCAGCTCCCATCCTCAAAATATCTGGAGTTACCCAGTTATTTTTTTTTATTTGTCTTTACAGCTCTTGTGACAACCGGACAATTTACTTCTATATAGTAATTTAGAATATTTAAGAATGTTCCATAGGCAAGATTTATGTTATCAAAATATTCATACACAGAATCAAAATTTTCAGAACTTATTTTTTGCTGCAGATTAAGTAAATTCGCTTTTGATAAGTCTTTAAAATGCATTTTTTTCATTGATATCAGATATATTAATGATGAACAATATAGCTAGATATTACAAAAAAATTTTTGAAAGAAAGTATATTATTTTTTTTTTCAAGAGTGCCTCAGCACTTAACTATGCAGTCAAAATACTATTTTGTTCTAGTCTGTTGTACACATCTGATTTAAATAAAATTAGAACCCTACCAAAACTGCAGAATCGAACAATGAAGTTTATTCTGAAATGTAACAGGTATACCCCAATATCCTTAATGCTAAATACTCTAGAATGGTTACCTATTGAAAACAGGCTTACATATTTAATATTGTATACATTTACAAAAATTTTTACTTCATATTTCAACAAATTTGTAATTTTTATTATCAAATTCATCAATATAATACTGGAATAAGAATGAAAACGTGTAATAATACTAAAACAATAATTTTTAAAGGATTTATTAATTATAACAGTCTACCTGAAAATGTAAAGTCTTTTACAAGTCTTAAAAGGAGTTTGTTAGGCCATTTAATGAAAAGTTGAGATATAATAAATTGTTGTGTATAATATTATAAATAAATATAAAATAGTTTTAATACATTATAAAAGGTAGGTACAAAAAATCTAACATTAAATATATGAACTGAAATATATTAAAGATAATAAAAACATATTCTCTTTACATCATTTTGGAATTGACTAGTTGAACACCCAGTGACATTAACCAGTCTCATTAGTCCAGGTAGGGGGCACATAATAAGCATAATTAGTGAGGTGAAGTTGAATTGCAAATAGACTATTATTCCTTGTAGTTTTTGTGGGAACTCTAAATGCAATCATGGATAATAACTCATCAGAAGTAACAATCCCAACTATGATCTTATAGAGGAATGACAGATCCATTAAGATTCTTCAATTTACAAGAGTTGGGAGGTTTATTAAGTTCAGAATTATGGAATTATATGTACCTGTTGCTAGATCAAGTTTAAAGGCACAATATCATAAATTTTTATTTTGGACATTTTCAATCCTTTTTACAGAGTTGTTGTAAAATGCATGCAACATAAACCATTCTACAGGCATATAAAGATAACAAGCTAGAGTTTCTTATCAGGATTGCTCTATTAACAGTTTGATTAATATGATTATTAAAGGAAAGATTTGAGTAAAATAAGATTCCCAGGTCTTTAATTTCGGTAACACATTTAATTGTTTGTATTGATGTATAATTTCAATGATGTGTAATTTTTACTTAAAAACAAATACTTTAATTAATAATTATTTAATATTTTTTATAAGCACCTCATGTTTATATAATTATTCTAGTTTTAATAAAGCTATGTATTATTTTGACTAAAGCAGTAGTTATGTTTAGTCTGCTTGAAAAAACATTTAAAAAATTAAGGCTGTCCTTATAGGACAAGTGAAATAGAAATATTATTACAAATCTGTTCTTTATTTTAATAATTCTAGAAAATGCATGAAGTAGTGTCGCAACTATATTAAAAAGTGGCATCAAAACTAAATAAAAAATTTGAAAATATAGGTTGTTAGGCATACACCACTGCAGCTGGTATAGGTAATGTACAAATCTAGGTCACTTCAACTTGTATTATTTTTAAATAGGGTTAAATTAAGTTATTAATATGAAAATTAAGCAAGATATTTTTTATTTAAAACAACACCAATATCATTGTGAGATGAAACATGTTCAAGTAGTTCATCTTTAATTGGAAATGACTTGAGTTACAATGTTATTACAGTGAGAAGCACAACACATATAAAATTAATTTCTTTAAGGTTTATAATCATCCCAATTGTCAATCAAGATCTAAAGGTTAGAAGAGTGATCAACTCTTGATTAAATTTTTCACATTCATTATTTATTGATAAATGTGGCAATGTAGCACTTACCACTTCATTTAGGGAAATCCTCAATAATAAAAAATTTAATTTAAATAGGTAAGTATTACAATTTCGGAATACAAAACAAAAAAAATAATTATTTTAGTTTAAATTATAAATTATTAATCAAATAAACTAAAAGTAAACAAAGATAAAATTACTTCCTTTCTATAAACAAATTTTGACATTTTAATATCCCAAATAATAAGTTATACTAATAATAGATATAAGTGGAAAAAAAACAACATTCATTTATATTGACCTGTAAATGTTTAAATAATTGCAAGATGATAAAAAATGTAGTTTAAAAAACATTATTAGGTGATGTAATTGCAATGTTATTCAAGGAATTTTGACACCACATTCCTTACATTGTTGCCTTTAGAATCACTATAATCTTGAGTCTTGATATCCAAAAATTAATTAATTAAACATTTACAAAGCCATGTTTTTTATTTTTTAAACATTCAATTGAGAAAATTTCAGTAGAAAGTTATAATTACAGATGTAACCAGGTGTTTGAAAAATAGTTAAAGATCCAAGTTAGTAATACTTTCAGAAATTAGTTGAAACTTATTTGTACAGACAGAATAATACTTACAAATAAAATAGAATATTAGTTTTTCCTTCATAGGTATTCTCAAATTATCAAACTAAAAATAAAATAATTAAAAACACTACAGCTGCAAATTGCACTAGTTCACTTTAATGAAGTGTTTGTTTTTTTTATAAATGCCTATTCCCAATTTCCATATCGGTTTATTTCTATCTATCTCTAACATACAAGAAAGTAAAAGAGAGATTTAACTTCTATACCTTTCATGAAAAGAGATAATAATCACAAACACATTTATTAGAGAAGGTAAGAAAATAAAAATGACTATTATGCTGGGGATCCGGAATTAGTAAAAGAACAACAGTTAAATGTCAAACTACAACCTTTCATCGATCAACGTCAACATCAAGAGTGCGTTTAGAAACCACGCACGGCGCGTCTGGACCCTATTCTAATGTATGCGGTCAGACGCGCCGTGCGAGGTTTCTAAACGCACTCCAGCAGTCAATATTGTCTGTCAAATGTTTTCGTGTGTTGACAAATTGACAACTCAAAATAAAAATAAAGTGGTTATCCCGTAAATTACTAATTACTAGGGCAATTTCAATAAGTTCCCATACGCTTTTACAGTATACAATTTCTACAAAAAATAACTTATAATTAAATACTTTAAGTTACTTTTTCAAATACCTTTTCTGTGTCTTCAAATAATACAAAGGTAATAAACTATTTTAATGTTATAATTCTCGCATTAATAAATGAAAACAAGTAAATTTTTAGTAGAGTTAATTGGCTAACATTATATTGCTTCTTTTCTTAACAGATAGACACTGTGTGGGGTTGGGCGTCTCCGCCCTTGCGTTTACAACTGGCGGGACATTTGAGGGGCCCTTGTAGAATGGGTGAAACGACAGGAGGAGATCGCCCTCCATCTCCAGCACGATTATCTCATTCCTCAGAAAAACATCCAAAAAATACACTGACAGAGTTAAATTTGCTAAGAAGACATAGGGAGCTATGTGATGTTGTGTTAAACGTTGGAACAAGAAAAATATTTGCTCACAGAGTAATATTAAGTGCGTGCAGTCCTTATTTTAGGGCAATGTTTACTGGAGAATTAGCAGAGTCCAGACAGACTGAAGTTACAATAAGAGATATAGATGAACTTGCCATGGATTTACTCATAGATTTTTGTTACACTTCACACATAGTTGTAGAAGAATCCAATGTCCAAATGCTTTTACCTGCAGCTTGCTTATTACAGGTATTACAATATATTATGGCTTTTATTAGATGTAATAGGTAAATTGTGCTATAATTTTTTAATTCTATAATTGAAATAAGATAAATTATGTGGCTCTAACATGATTTTGAAAATAACTATGTTATTAATCACACCAAACCAAAATTTATTAAATACCTATTATTTGACATGTTTTATATTAATCCATATGTTAGTTATATTTGAATTTTAATGTTTTTAATTCTAATTATTATTGTAATCGGAGTAGAATAGCATTCAAAATTAAGTATAGTATTTTTAATACAAATACTTATGCACTTCATAGATTATTTATGAATTTACAACCTTGCAGTGTTGTCTAATCATCAGAATACTCAAAAAATGTAGGAACTTTTTTCAGAGCTATATTTTGGCTGTAGGTATACTAAAAAAGTCACTATTTACTTGACTGAAAATGGTATACCAAATAGATATTATGTATTTTTTGATTCAATTTAAACATTATTAATTTTTTGCCTAGCTTACTGAAATACAAGATATATGCTGTGAATTTCTAAAAAGGCAGCTAGATCCTTCAAACTGTTTGGGGATTAGAGCATTTGCTGATACACATTCATGCAGAGAGTTACTCAGAATTGCTGATAAATTCACTCAACATAATTTCCAAGAAGTTATGGAATCAGAAGAATTTCTTTTACTGCCTGTTGGACAACTTGTTGATATAATTTCTAGTGATGAGCTAAATGTCCGTACAGAAGAACAGGTAACTGTGTTTTTATTTATTCTTTTTTTTTTTCAAATAATTTTAAATTTTAATTAATAGGTTTTCAATGCTGTTATGTCATGGGTCAAGTACAACGTTTCTGAAAGGCGACAACACCTTTCTCAAGTATTACAGCATGTTAGATTGCCTTTATTGACTCCAAAATTCTTAGTTGGAACAGTTGGTTCAGATTTGCTGGTTAGATCTGATGAATCCTGTAGAGATCTCGTAGATGAAGCTAAAAATTATCTTTTACTGCCTCAAGAAAGGCCTTTAATGCAAGGACCCAGAACTCGACCTAGAAAACCTACAAGGAGAGGTAATAATGTGGTTCTAAACATTGTTTATTCTAATATTTATAACAATAAGATTAAATTAATTTAACTTTAATCCCAATCAACTAAAATAAAGAAATGTATACCATTAAATTACTAATTAAGTGTCACATTTTACAATGTGTAATGTAGAGGTTGCTTAAATCAAAAGTAATGCAATAAACAATCATAAAAAATTATCTTTTCAATGATTTGCAACAGATATTATATTCCCTATATCAGTAAAATATTTTTTTTTTTAGATTTTGGCATAAAACATTTACTGCATTGTATGTATATAATTTCAGGTGAAGTACTATTTGCAGTAGGAGGTTGGTGTAGTGGAGATGCTATAGCTTCTGTGGAAAAATTCGATCCTCAAACAATGGAATGGAAAATGGTGGCTCCAATGAGCAAAAGACGTTGTGGTGTCGGCGTTGCTGTTTTAAATGACCTCCTCTACGCCGTGGGAGGACATGATGGGCAGAGTTACTTAAACAGCATTGAAAGGTATTTTATTTTAGTGACAATGTAAGGATTTGATCTGTATATTTTATCTCTTATAAATATATTAAGTCATCTTTGGTAATATTATGAAAATGCTTTTCTTTTTTTTTAAAAGACTTCAAAAAAAGAGGTTATGTATGTTCAGTGATAATTCTTTAACATGGTGTCCGATTTCAGTGAGTCTTTTTTTGTTAGAAAGTGGAAACTTCAGGAGTGGTCCCATACAAATCTGGTCAAAATCTAATAATTGGGTCCATGAGAAAATCCTCAAACTCTTCATTTTTTATGTATCTTTAGTGATAATGCTTTACCACCTTGTCCGATTTATATGATTCTTTTTTGTTAGTAAGGGGGTACGTCAGGGGTGGTCACATATAAATTTGGCTAAGATGTGGTGATGGCATCTGCACGTTTTTGAAGTCAGTTTTTTTAAATTTTTAATTTCTAATACTTGTTTTCAGATATGATCCTCAAACAGATCAGTGGTCTTGTGATGTAGCTCCTACAACTTCTTGTCGAACTAGTGTTGGTGTAGCTGTGCTGGATAACCTTCTGTATGCTGTAGGTGGTCAAGATGGAGTCCAGTGTCTGAACCATGTTGAAAGGTAATTTTGTGTCAGTTTTAATGTCTCCAGTACATTGTAGGCACTGTGTTAAGTAGGAAAATAATATTTTCTTGAACATTCTTAACAGAAATTGACTACATGTTTCTAAATCAAAATATTTTCAGATACGATCCAAAAGAGAACAAATGGACAAAAGTCGCCCCAATGACAACACGGCGATTGGGCGTTGCTGTTGCGGTTCTGGGTGGATATCTATACGCGATAGGCGGCTCAGATGGACAATCGCCATTAAATACAGTCGAGAGGTATGACCCAAGGCACAATAAGTGGACTCTAGTCAGTCCAATGTCCACGAGAAGGAAACATTTAGGATGTGCCGTTTTTAATAATCTTATATATGCAGTAGGAGGTCGAGATGATTGTATGGAGTTGAGCAGTGCAGAGAGATACAATCCTCATACTAATTCTTGGAGTCCAATTGTCGCAATGACTTCTAGACGAAGTGGTGTAAGTATTGTTTTGGGGTCATCACTTTATTTTATAATTATTAAGCTTTAATTCATTATATTGTAAACACTTTTTGATTAGTTCATAATTTGTATCATTAAGTCAGAGGGTTATCTGCTCTCACCAGTTTACATATTTCTTTTATATACTGTGATTTTATTTTTTTTATCTCCTATTTTTTCTTGGTCCCTTTTTTCACGTTCCTAAATTCTTTCCACTCTGGTTTTTCTAGACTATCCAAATTTAATGTTTGGTTATACATTCCCAAGTGATACAGAAATTTTTATCAACATTTGATAGGAACTATTTGTCTCACAAGTATTGGCACAAGTTTTAAGATTTAAATTTAATATCAATTAAAATTCCACTATATTTATTTAGGTGGGCTTGGCAGTTGTTAATGGCCAATTGTATGCAGTGGGAGGATTCGATGGAACAGCCTATTTGAAGACGATAGAATTCTATGATACTGAACAGAATCAGTGGAGGTTGTGCGGTTCCATGAATTACAGACGACTCGGCGGAGGAGTCGGTGTCATGAGGGCTCCGCAAACGGAAAATCGGATATGGTAGTTAAGGGATTATATAGTTAAAGCTGTTGTTAAGAAGCCGGAGCAAAGTAGTTGAATGTGATTGAAAGAAAAAAAAAAAAACTAAAAGAAATTGCATTATAGTTTTAAAAACGCAATTATAGAAGTTGTTGAATGATCTCATAAATGGATATTGTAGGATGTTTATAAAACGTATATTGATATATTGACGTGGAATTCATTTTTTAATTTCTTAAGTCTTTAATATTTTAGGCTGAGGTCATTTAACAACTTTTTTGTAAATATATATATTTTTAATGCTTTTTTGGCGTGTAGCATTCGTTATGACTGATTGGTTAAGAATTATATCCTGTTCAGTTTCTTTCTTTTTTTCAGGGTGGACTATGAAAATTTGACATATTTTACTATATATCATATTACATAATAATACACAAAAGATTTTAGATTCATTAGTTTTGTTATGTTTGGCTTGTGTCATCCTCTTTTCGGTGACCTTCTCTTACAGCTAAAACAGATACTCATTTTTTGATTGGTTAAAATTTGAAATATAAATGAGATTCACTAATGAAAATGTTAAAAATATCTAAGGAAAAACGGAAAATGACTTGGCAACGTTGTGTCAGTATTACTCTACAGGGTGAGCAATGTTCGACTTTCATAGCTATCTTGAATTTTATAAGAAACTGAAAGGCATGTAGATTAAAAAAAAAATTTGTATAGTAGAAAAAAAGCTGTTGTTATTTTAAGAGGAAACTCGAGATTATTTTTAAATATTTTTATTTTAAATTGTTCAGTAAATAAATTATGTATTTTATGCCTATTGTATATATATAACCAGTGTCTAATTGTAAATTGTATATAGCTTAAATTTAAACAAATTGATATATTTATTATAGATGAATAAGATAAAACTTCAATTTCTAATGCTTTTGTATAAAATATAATCACTTGCCTCAATTCAATTGTTAAAATTATTTATTTAGTATCGGAGCCATAACTTTTACAGTTGATAGTTGTTTGACATTCAAAGGGTACAAAATAAATGAAAATAATTTATTTAAAATCACAAATAACCAAGCCATGGGCCATCAAGGCTTGTAAAGAACATCTTAAAAACATTTATCCCCTTTTAATTACTGTTCATTAGATGATATACACTTGTCCAAATCGTGTTTCCACTAATATTATTAAATAGATCCAGCGATTTTTCTCAACCTCCTATATTTCCTGCCATGTGTGCCACTGTAGAGATCTATCAAGAAATAATGTGCAGATCAGTCTTATCTTCATCACTTTGCTTACAATAACCAACTGGGCACCATAAACAATTATTTCTTCAAATATCTATATCAATGTTAGTTTTTTTAAGTAGTTTTTGTACTGGTATTAATTTGAATAGTTGCTTTAATGGCTTGACGATGGCTAAATTAATGATTCACTGACAAATTTTTTTAAGATCTTGTGTACAAGGTACAAAGGTGATAGAGTGGGTGCTATGAACTAACATGGGGTAAAACACAATAAACCAATAGGCTTCAGTGTTATTCGGAGACACATAGTCAGACGAGCCCAGGAGAGAGAAAAAAAAAGATCTTGTGTTAGAGAAAAACAAGTCGCGTTAGTTTCAAAAATGGCGATTCAAGAAGAATTCGCTGGATCTCTGTACATACAGATGAATTTCCGGAATGTATTAAATGAGCAGTCTGCATCTTTATTTTATTTTATTTTTATATGAAATACCAAGAGTTGTCTTTAATCTCCTGTAGGCATTTTATAAGCACAATCACACGCATTTAGGAAAAATAATATTCATTCATTAGTTTAATATATTTATAATAAACTAAAATTCCTACTGTTATAGTCTTTACAAATTGTATAAACATTTCGAAGATTGACATTATAAAATTATTTGTCGCTTTATCTTCTTTTATTCCATAATACAGTGGCAGCCGTATATACAAATATACAATCCATGGGTCTTTTATTAACAGATTTAAAACAAAAAGTTCTCAATGACTGATTTCTATGATTCTTTTTTGTTATAAAGGGGCACTTCAGGGGTGGTGGTCCCATATAAATCACCAAACTCTTCAATTTGCATGATTGACTAATAGTAATGCCCCCCCTCTGTTTTGATGCTATAAAATAGAAAGACTTTTTTCTTTTGGTCTCATTGATTGCAACACGGTAACAATTTTAACCTCAGAGGCCATGATCCTCTGACCTGTGCATATGGTCGCACCTTAAATAAAAATCTCATGGTTTGTCTAAAAATTTTAATCTCAGGGGGGCCATGGCCTGGAGTCGTCCTTGTGTGACAGTTAGTTTTTTTTTGCCAAAATTTAATGAACACATTTATTTAGTCTTTATAGATACATAATAGTGGTGTGATATACTTTTTCTTCGAGATTATGTAGGATGTACGATTTTATTCTAGATACGTTCAAATTGACTATGTTTTCAGTTCTCAGCTGGTGATTATTTTGAAATGTTCCTTTTGATTATTCATTTGATTTATTATTTTTTATATGAAAATGTATTTATTTCATTTCAATAAATGTTTAAAAAAATATACCTGACTTTTATAAATATTTTTCCCTATATACCTACTTAATTAATTAATTTTGGATAAATTACGTGTTTCAGTTTTAGAGAGTACTAATTCAAACTTTTGTCAAACGCTTTTGTAAAATCAGTATATGTAGTAAATTTCACCGATTTTGGCTTGTTCTTGCAATAATACATGACACAATTTAAAATTTTTATTCTTCTCATTCTTTGTTTACACTATATTCAGTAATTTATATGGAAAATAACAACGATCTTTCAACTTGAGAAAATTGTGCCGTTTATATGAAACTTGTGACGTTCCAGATCTGTCTAGAAAACTCTAGATGCTCTCAATTCAATTAGAAAATTTATCGGCGTCACGTCTGGAAATTATAGAAATTTCATTTAGGCGGTTGAACGGCTACCTCGACTGGCGATAACAAAAACCTACAGCAGGATCGGTCTGATCGAAAATGGCTGGCACGAAATTAAAACAACATATGAATTAACATAATTCATCAACTGAATAAAGTGTAGATGGAGATGGCGCTATTTTCGAATTTATTTTTTTCATTCAATCGACATCATGGTTTATAAATGAAATATGTTTTTACATTTTTTATAAATATTTTCTAAAATTTTAAAGTTTATAAATCCATTAGTTTGGAAATAGTGACGGAATAAAGACTCCAGTGTCAAATTTATAACAAAAAAGAATTCAACTTTGATACTCTCTAACTTTAACATCTGATACAATTTGAAAATATTGTTTGCATAATTATGTTTCTACACTTTTTATAAATATTTTCTGAAATTTTGAAGTTTATAAATCTAATATTTTGGAAATAGTGACGGAATAGAGGCTCCAATGCCAAATTTATGACAATTAAAAATTCAACTTTCATACTCTCTAACTTCAACAACTGTTAAAATTTGAAAATGTTGTTTGCAAAATTACATTTCTACACTTTTTACAAATATTTTCTGAAATTTTGGAGTTTATAAATCTATTAGTTTGGAAATAGTGATGGAATAAAAGCTCCAATGCCAAATTTATGACAAATAAAAATTCAACTTTTATACTCTCTAACTTCAACACCTGTTAAAATTTGAAAATGTTTTTTGCAAAATTACGTTTTTACATTTTTTATAAATATTTTCTAAAATTTTGAAGTTTATAAATCTATTAGTTTGGAAATAGTGACGGAATAAAGGCTCCAGTGTCAAATTTATAAAAAATAAGAATTCAACTTTGATACTCTCTAACTTTAACATCTGGTTCAATTTGAAAATGTTGTTTGCAAAATTAGCTTTCTACACTTTTTATAAATATTTTCTGAAATTTTTGAAGTTTATGAATCTATTAGTTTGGAAATAGTGACGGAATAAAGACTCCAGTGTCAAATTTATAACAAATAAGAATTCAACTTTGATACTCTCTAATTTTAACATGTGATACAATTTGAAAATGTTGTTTGCACAATTATGTTTCTACACTTTTTAAAAATATTTTCTGAAATTTTGCAGTTTATAAATCTATTAGTTTGGAAATAGTGATGGAATAAAAGCTCCAATGCCAAATTTATGACAAATAAAAATTCAACTTTCATACTCTCTAACTTCAACACCTGTTAAAATTTGAAAATGCTGTTTGCAAAATTATGTTTCTACACTTTTTATAAATATTTTCTGAAATTTTTGAAGTTTATAAATCTATTAGTTTGAAAATAGTGATGGAATAAAAGCTCCAATATCAAATTTATAATATATTTGTCATTTCAACGTTAATCTAACATTAGCAACGGAGATATTACGCAATTAAGTCCTTTTGACATTGTCTAAAAAAAATACCTTATTGCCAGATTTTTTAGCGACCATGTATACTAAAAAACCTCAAACTGTCGTAACTGGTGACTGTGACAATGTAGTATTGTTAATTTGTCAAAACATTTTAAGTAAATTTTGAGCAAGGAAAATTATTAGTAAATTATGGCGGAGCAACCATTACACAATAGGATATATTTTTATAGAGAAAATGAAAAATTAGAAGAAGACGTGGATACATTAAATAAGGAATTGGATGATACGAAGAAATCATCGGTAAATACGGAGTATATTGAAAATTTAAAAATGGAAAAAAATAATTTACTAGCTCTAAATGAACGTTTACAAAGGAAACTCAAATATCTCAGGCATTATAGTCCAACAAAACAATCTGATTTTGTGCAGGAAACCAAAGAAAAAAAAGACCTTTTTGAAACGGTCAAAGAATTGGACAGACTCATAGAGAAATTTAAAAGAAACGAAATATTCGAGATAAAGCAACAAGATGAGAATCACACTGCTAATCTGATTAACTCATTAACCATAAAAATTGAGGAAGAAGAAAAAAAATCTGAACAATTAAACGAAATTATAAGAAAATTACGAAACAGCGATGAGAAATATATCTTAGAAGAAAAATTAACTGATTTAAAGCAGCTGTTAACTGATTTAGAAAAAGAAAACTCAAAATTGAAATACGAGAACGAGCAGCTACTAGATAACATAGAAAATTTTAAAAATCAATTAAACCAAGCTTTGGAAGACGTAAAAATTGCCACAAAAAAATGTTATACCTTGGAAGACGATAAAGATCAACTAAAAAAAATAATTTCCGATTTAGAAAACGAAAAAACGCAAATAAAAAAAGACATGGACGAAATGAATGAGACAAACGCAGTTAACAAGGTGCCAGTTGATACTGAATTAGCTTTGGAACACATTTCGGAAGCATATGAAATGAAGAGGCGAGAAGTTAAACAACTTATGGAACAATTAGTTGCAGCAGAAAATATTATAAAAGAATTCCAGAAACAGTTTAAATCTTTATATACATAAGTTTTTTTTATCATTACGTTTGTTACTTCAAAAGAAATCGAACTTGTTATAGTTGGCTGTGGATAATCAAATACAACAAATGGTATCGGGACTATGGATAATCGCACTAAAAAATGAGTTAAACATTAATTTGAAGAGTCTAAAAAACGAGTGAAATCATTTGACAGCACTCGACAGCACGTTGAGTGCATTAACTTATGTGGTTACGCATAGTCTCGTTATAAAAAGTTGTATTTGTTAATGTATATCATGAATTAATAAAAAATAACAGTTCAATAAGTTTACAGCTACATTACAAGCAATATTAGATCTGTATAGCCTTTTAAAGTACCAGCTATTAGTCAAAACTAAAAGTAGAGGACATTCTTACATTACGAGTGATATAATCATTGCAATCAACTATTTGAAATTGTATATTAATAATATATATTGATAAATACTTCGGCATCTCTGCCATATGCTTTCATGTTCTATGAGTCTTACTTTCAATCTTTAAATTACTCCTACATAAGATTTTCGTATGATATAAAATTTTACCGAACACATTTTTTTTGTAGCCATTCTAGATAAATAGGGCAATGACTATTGTAGTTTTGGTGCAGGAGTTCGTTCATCAACAAACTGAATTTAGGACAGCCATAACGAGCTTAAGCGAACATCTACGAGCGGACCATCACGACTTTAAACGCGAGTTAACACATCTATGATCTTAAACGAGTATAGTCCTTCCATTATCAATTGCAGAACACAGTTATGTGGGGAATCATCAATATTTAATATATACGCACGGTACACATGCCAAATTAAGAAACGAAAAATAATGTTTACTCCCCTTATACAAAGCGGTAAATATTAAACGAACCATCAGTTGTTCACCAATGAAAACATCGAATCGTAAACTTAAATGCACTGTATTGGCCGAAGGTTTACGGAAGGCAGGTGTTCGAAAATATTCCTGGAAGACAGTCTGCGATATCAGTGGAGTACTGTCGTGCGGTGTGTTTTGTATGTGTGGTTGGTTTAATTTAAATTTCTTTTAATAAATATAAATATGGCGTTCTTTAGACCATAGGCGAATGAAGAAAATGAAATTGCACAGTGTAGTGAGATTAAAGACAGGTATGACTTTAACGATAAGGATTTAGATATACAAACACAACAAGTTATTTTAAATATATTCGAATGTTTAAAAAAGGAAAATATTCAGCAGTCTGATAATGCGTTCATAATAACAATTGCTGAATTAACTAAAGTAAATAAATTTTCCGTTTATCCGGTAGTCACGAAAGGGGTTGCTGTGGATTATTCATAAAACCGAAAAACATGTAAAGAAAAACTGAAATCAGTTGACAGAGCTACCCAAGATTTTATACGAAGGACAATTTATAGTTTATATAAGGAAAACAGGGTTCCGACATTGGAAGTAATACAGCAAAAGGTGGCAGATTTTCCAGGATACACTTATACCAGTTTGGAAACAATGCGTCAAGTTTTGTCAGCATGTGATTTTAAACACAAAAAATTGAATAAACAGATGGCAATCACCGAATCGTCAAGGCTAGTTCAATGGCGACAAGATTATTTGCGTCAGATAGAAGGCTACAGAAGTTCTAAGACACATAATTTATCTAGGTGAAACATGGTTTGACAGTCACGATGTAGTAAATTTCGGTTGGGTTGGCAGTAGTAAAAATTGCTGTTTGAATGGGCCATGTTCTAAAGGGAAACGCATTATAATAGTACATGCTGGAAGCAAAGACGGTTTCGTGCCTAATGCTTTATTATTATCTGCTAAACAAATTAAAAACTGTGCAGCTGATTATCATGAAGATATGACAGCAGAATTATTTGAAAAACGGTTTAATGAACAGCTTTTACCTTACATTCCACCACAGTCAGTAATCGATATGAACAACGCATCCTACCACTCGCGGCAACTCCTTAAAATACCAAATAGTAGCAGTAAAAAAGCTCAAATTTTAGCTTTTATGTCTGAAAAAAATATTCCTATTCCTGCCAGTGATAGTAAAAAAGGACCAACAAACAAAGAATTGCTTACTGTTATTAAAGGTATAAATTTAGAAAAAATGTATTATATTGACAAGCTGTGCAAACTCTTCTCAGACTACCTCCTTACTATTGCATATTTAACCCTATAGAGTTAATATTGGCAAACTTAAAATCAGAATTACGAAAATGTAATCAGTCTCCAGAACTGAATAAAGAAGTTGTAGAACTCGTAAAGAAAGTTCTAGCAGCAGACCGCCAAGAGCTTTGGAAAAACTATGTTGAACATGTTATCAAAGAAGAAGATGAGTATGTAATATTACCCTCTTTACAACCCATCATAATTCAACCAAAAGATGACTCTAGTTCAGAGGATTCAGACTGCCATGATTATTTATAAAGATACTTTTGAATTGAATTGTTTTTTTTCTTTTGTTTTATTTGCAAAGAATTTATTTTCCTTTATGGTTTTTTCTTTAAAATTTCGTTTTCTAGAAAAAGAACGAATGGGGTACAAAAAGGGTTCAGTTCACGTCTGGTACCCTATTTAAACCAAACACCCTTACAGGCAGGTACACTTTACTCGCCTTTTATTGGGGGTTAATTGGCATATTAATATAATAAAAATGTAGATATAATATTTTTAAACCAAACAACTCATTTATTCTTTATTAATAGGTATATAGATCATATATATTGGAAATTCCAAATAAAATAGTTATGACGTAGCAATGTTATTCTTATTGTAATCGAACTGTACCTACTATATCAATAACTGATAACTTTTTTTATAAGAATAAGCAATTGGACCAAGTAGTTTTTATTTATTTCCCGCCTTTTGAAGGATATTAATAATAAAAAAAAGATCTAAAATTCTTTTGTCTACCTATAAGTAATTTTTTCTTTTCGTTCTTACTAAGAATAAACGTCTTGCATAATATTAGGTAGTGGTAAAGAAAAAAAGTATCAAGCCGATAAAATTACGCCACCTCATCGATTTTCGCTTATTGGTGGCCTCTTGAGCACGTTTCCCATTCGACAGCATATTTGAAGTATTTTCAATTGGGTTCTCACTTCGTTCTTTGCCGTTTAAACACACCCACTCGTAAATTGAACAAACGAGGTTGATGGCCAGTTTTAAAAATAGAGGTTAAACATTAAAATTTAGAAAATATAGCAGTATTAATTAATTTTGATGATGTAGATCCGATTTAAAAAAAAAAAATGATAAAGAAAGGTTAGTTTGAATGTCGATAAAAATCCTAAAGCCGTTTTTTATTCTGCCTGGAAATTTCATCAATTAAACAAAAGCAGTAAATAAATATGTATGCCCTATAACAATAAAATATCGTCAGTCCTTCTTTGTAGGTGTACCAGTTTTTATGATAAGTTGTATATTTTTTGATGGCGATATCAAAACCTCCACGATTTTTTATATTTAACAACGCAAGGTTGTCTGTCTCTTTCAGTACCATCAGTACAAAGTATATAATAGCTCCATTAAATTTAAACGTTTAACATGTTTTTTTTAAGTTTTAGCAACTAAAATATTTTCCGAAATGAATGATAATGTCTTCGACAGCTCTTTTTTGCAGACAAAAACAGTATTGACTAACTCACGGTTATAACATTCCTAAAATTCAATTTCATATATCTTAAATAGAACAACTAGAGCGTACCTAATATATAATTTTAGCTCGTTTAAAAACCATTTTTTTTTAGCTACTGTTCTGACGGCAAAACATCCAAAACAAGGTTTTTTGTTTAGCAATTTTATATTGTTCTTACATTTATAATAATTATTGTTTGAATTAACGCCCAGAAATTGTACTGTCTTAGTCTATTCAATGTTATGACTTTCTATAGGTAAAAGTACTTACAATGTTAAATTAATTACATAAAGAAGGAATAAAACCCAACATAGAACCCTGAGAGATTCTCCTATTTCTGTCCTATGATTGTCTTTTTAATTCACAAGAACTGGATGAAACAAAAATTACTTATATCAACTTTATCATCGAATACCAACATTTTAATTGTCAACAATATAGTTTTTCTGAATTTTTAAATATTTTTCTCTTACAGAAATACCGCATACATAATCAGTAGCTTTCCGCGAATAATTACGCTATTCTTTTGACGCGACCTACATTTTATAACCATTATATTTTTACCCTTTTAAATCCGTCAAAGCTTTCCACTATTTCTGCATCCACTCAAATTCACCTAACTACAGGTCATGAGCATAATTTAAAATGTGGGTCGCAGTTAGTAAATTATGTTTCGTCGAAGTTCAGATAGGATATTTCGCGTCATTACCAGAGGTATATTGCGCCGCACAGACTCCTTTGATTAGAGAGTTGATGGCACTTGAACTTGAGAGACAATACCTCAGCAGTACAAGGATGAAGACAAATCAGGGCTGGACACAGGACTTCCACATTTTCAAAATTTAATATTAGATCATTCTTTTTTAAACATACAGTGTTTCCCAAATGCGAAAAAAGTTCATCTTTATTTATATATAAATGGAAATTTGAGACATTTCAATGTGTATAATATGTGCTGTGACATGTTATTTTTATCTGAAGCATTGTGTCAAATAATCTTAAATAAAAAAAAACTTAGAACCAATAAAATGTATAATCAATCAGTACATAAATGTGATGGCAAAAATCATTAATTTTTGCCCAGTTTCGGTTAAAAAGTATATATAAATATATGAAACTTTTATATTGTTCTGAAAGAAATATAAATGACGGCTTTGGATCAAAAGTTATACAGTAAACGCCAAATCTAAAAAACCAAGGACGCGCATTTATAATGCTACGAACACGCCTACCGATGAATAAAATTGGTAGCTTACCTAGAAAGTTGTAAACCAGGGGCGCGTATATTTTAAGACATAAAATAAATGGAAAATAGTGACTGATAATGATAAAATTGTATATTGGTCAAACGGGCCGTACTTTCAAAAAAAAGCTATTTAAAACATTTCAATAGTTATACTAAAAACAAAAATAATTTTACAAAACATATTTTTATCTAAAAATCAATGCTAAAATTGTTTCACATTTTCAGAATAAAGGCATTCAATTAAACCATTTAGAAACACTTGAAATAAATAGATTTAAATATTCAAATATCCTCTTAAATGATCAATTAGATATTAATAAATGAGCTTAATTAAATCTCTTTACCTGTTCTTAGTTTTCTGTGAGATAATCTCGGTAATGATATCTTATTGGAATTTTATTAATATATTTCGCTTAAGTACCTACCTACTTTACCTAATTAGTTTATTTTGTATATATATTAAAAATATAAATGTCACATTTGAAGAAGAAGTTGTACTTGGAAACAATTGTCGTGCAATTTTTAATTTTTATTTCTTTAAATAAAAGTGTGAAAATCTACCATGTTTGGTTTTTCTCATTTTAATAATATGGATTTTCATCAAGTAAAGGCCGAAACTATCAAGAAATTAAAATGAAATGGTATTAAATACTTACCACTACTGATATTTTTAGAAACAGAAGGTAAATTTTAAAAATTTAAATATAAAATATTAATCAAAAATAAAATGCATAGATATGTGTGTACAATACAAAAAAATATGAAAAACTACGCAAGTTTAATTGCAAATAACCTACAGAGTATGTTTACCTGTTCCTTGTGCAGTTTGAAGTTTGATATCATCTAGAGTAACTCCTTCCGTTTTTGTTGCGTCAAAATATTTAATATATATTTATTACTTCACGACTTTGTCCGTTAATAACAAATCTGCGCTTTTTTTCACCCACAATAGAAGACATTATCAAAAATAAAACCAGTCACTTTAACCAAAACACAGAAACAAGAAACAAACAATGATCTAGTCGTTACGCTATAGACCGTAAGCAAGGACAAGGTTCAAATTGTGAATGGGCGTTGCGATTTTTAAGTAAACGAACTTGAGCATTTGCACTGGTTCTTTAGATTTGGCGTTTACTGTACCAAGGTCGACAAAATTGTCTTTGTAGAGATGAGTAGTTTATTTCATAATTAAATAAAATAGAATCAGGTTTTAATTAAAATGATATTATAAAACATTTAGTTGCATTTAAAGTAATAAGCTTTAAGCGACAGCATGTTTGGAATGCTTTTATATAATGATACACACGTTCACACTGAGCATTGGTAGAAATTGAATTGAAAGTTTTCAAATCAACTACACATAAAATGTAAATTTATATCAATGCACTCCACGATGTTATTAATAAAGATATTATAAAGCACAGGTCCGAGGACAGCTCCTTGCTGCACCCCAGATGTTGCAAGGTATTCTACAGACTTAAAACCGTTTAAGAAAACTTACTGTTGGCGATTTTGTTGGCATTAACGGAAAATTTTTAACATATTTTGACAAACTGTAACCAATTAGTTTTTTATAAGTGTACACCATTTTAGTGTGATGCAATAATGGTTCCACTGGGAGTTAAATATTAACCAAACTTTCAACAAACTTGATATATACGTTTTCACTGTTTCTATTTTTTTTTACTACTGTCTAAATATTTTGTTTGCTACATTTACATTTGAATTTAATTCTCAGTCACTTGAACAGAAATGTATATCCCGGATAGGATGCTATTTTTTTTCTACGATAGGAGGTAAAGGTATTTGTATTCTATGGTTTTAGTGATGAAGTTAAAGAGAAATGCATTTATTATTCTTTTCTTTCTGTATTTTTTCGCTAATACACTTTCACATTATAAACAAACTCATCCTCGCTTTGTATAACGTTCAAATGCCTCTTTTTCGATTTTACATAGAGAAAATAATAGATTTACAGTGTTTATACTAAAAAGCAAAAATGGATAAAAACTGAGAGAAAAAAACTGATTCCCACTCTGAGCGCTGGAAGGTATAAGTACTTGTAAACTGCCTTTAATGTTCAGTTTAACTTTTTTTTGGATTCATTCCACCAGGCGTCGTTTTATAATAGTTATCAGTAATCATTTTTGCAATGGTGTTTTATTTTTGGATACTATAGTTTGGTAAGTGTGTAGAATTCTACATATTATTCGTTTTTATTTGTAAAGAAAATTATTTAAAACTGTAAATATATCTATTATTTATATTTAATGGTAATGTTTCATTTGGTAATACAAAAAAACGTAGGTACACTGAAAAACATTCTTTCTTCATAAATTATTTTATAAAATATCTTATATTCACATTTTTAAAGCTGAATCTAAATAGGTATCAATTTTTTAGACAAGTGTAATATCGTTGGTATTTAATATATATACAGGGTGTAACAATATAGTGCAAATAATTGTATTACTATAAAATTAGCGAATGAACTATATTTTTTATCCAATTTTAATATATTTTGATGGGAGCGATGGTGCAAATATTTTATTTTATTATTATAAAAGTGGCTGATGAAATAATGTTTGTCTCCACTTATTATATATTTTAGTGGGAATGCTGGTTCAAATATTTTATTTCGTAACTCAGAAAATAGCCTATGAAATTCATGTCTGCAATTTTTTTTTAAATATATTTTAGTGGGAGCGCTGATGTAAATATTTTAATTTATTGAAACTATTTTTTTTTTTTTTTTGTAAAAACTCACTCTTATACAATTTATCTATTAATTTTACCTTCTATTGATTACATTTTTTGGTTTTGTTTAATATTCTAAAATTTCTACTACATTAAACTCATACCGCTGCTATAAAAACATTCTGCTACGTGAAAAATATACTATTTAGTGAAACAAATACTGCATACTCTTTAGAGAGGCACATCTTTATAGAAAAATGTTTTTATATATTGTTTGATAATTCTAATTGATGAAAAAAAAAATCATCAACAATTTTTTGAGATGTCGAAAGACAATCCATTAATAACAAGCCTAAGAAGAAAAACTGTAGTAAAGAAGAAATGTTTTTAGAGGTACATTCGCCAAATACGGTTTTAGATTCTTAATCTGTAAGTGATTCTGATTAGTTTCTTTTCTTAAGGTTTTATAAAGTTAAGTAAGATTTAAAGTGAAAATTGGTTCATGAACTATTGGAAGCAAATGGTGGTAAAAGATGACACTAGTCGAGCTTTTTAAGTATCATTAGATTCTTTTACTTGCACAAACTGTCAAGTTAGACGGTTCGCTTGAAAAGTATCTATGAAAATAAACTTGCTTAGCCTTAAATAAAAGTATTAAAAAAAAATTAAAAAGAGAAAAATAAAGAATGTAAGAATAATATGGCAAAGAACAATATGAATAAAATACAAAGCCATTAACAAACCAAAAAAGAAATTTGTTTTTAAAAAATTATAAAAATGACCTCTGTTTTCATATATATAAAGGCTAATTCTACGAAAAAAGTTAAACTGTACTCTTTCCATCCTTTCTGCATCTATCCAAAAGAGTTTTAAAAAAATAATAACTTTGTATTTTGGAAACTCTCTACTTTTGGACTAAGGTAAATTATTTTAGCCTCAGTAATGTGTGCTATCTTTCTATACAGACTTTTTAGCGTCATCATGTATAAAGTTACTGCTCCTAATGCTAGTTTAGCTTATATTTTTTTTACAGAATAAGAACGCCAACAATGTTATGCACAAAATGGAAAATCTTAGCGTTGTGACAACCATTTTATTTCTCCTAATACAAGACTGCTCTGATGCCGAAATTTCGTAAGTATTTAAATAAATTATAAATAATAACTTGCGAATTCTACGTATTTTGTTTCATAAGCTGGTCTCACTTGTCCACCAATAATATTGCAGTCTATTGGGTTATTGTGTTTTTACTTGTTACTCATTTTTGATTTTTTTACTGGGTTTTCCAACTCAGGTATATCTTGTGTTACTCTTTTCCAATCTTCAAACTTTTTATATCCACTTTTAACTACTCCCTTTTTGCTTTACTTCTTTTCTACTGCCTTTCAAGTAATCAGCGTCCTTCACGCGCAACCAAATGGTCCTTCGATCAAAAGAATAAGACAGACACAAATTTGAATTTGTCAACAGATTTAAATCCAAATCCTTCAACTTCTTCATCAATTTGTTGTGCAGCTACAGATTCTAATTTAATTAAAGCGAATGCAATTTTGTCTACAGCACTTGTAAAAATACAAGTTACAAATTGTATTGCTCGTACTCTACTGGATTGTGGCTCACAATATAGTTTCATTTCAAAATATCTTTCTGATAATAAGTTGAATTTGCCAAACAAATCTAGCAGTGTCCAAATTACAAATGAAACTATGAAAAATACATTCAAATATAATATATTTTTTGTGTTCAGATTATGTCCTCTGGATTTTTATCATGAGAAAACGCAAGAAAAAATGGACCAAGACAGAGAGGAAATTAGGTATGTCATACTGAGTTGTGTCAGCTCATTCAGAACATGTTTTTGTTTTAGTACTGGATTAACTATTCGTGATATTTTACCAACGGATCCAAGCAAATATGACAAAATGAGACCACCAAAAAGAGATGGAAATCCTACCATTGTTCATTTTCACGTTACAGTTATGGGTCTTGATAGTATTGATGAAAATTCCATGGTAAGTTTTCAGATAAACTTTGTTCAAATGAAATGCAATCAAATTTATTCGCGCACTATGCTTTACTTTCACACATACACAATATAATAAAATAGAACAAATGGCTTGTTCTTCTTCAATCGTTGGACATTGTCATGATTGTCCAGCAAACCTTTTACTGTTGAAATCCCAAGATCTCGGTGAAGACCTGCATTGCGCACATACCAAGGAGCATTCACTATGTCGTGCAATACTTTGTTCTGAAAATTTTAAGTTTTTGCCCAAGAGCCAGTAGTGCTATTTATATTTTAATCCGAATTTGATTCGTTTCTACTTAACATGTACTTTCCATCGTAACTGAACATCAAGGGTCATGTCAAAGTACTTTACATTCAGCTCATGAAAGGTTCTGCTATTTTTTATTAGTGAAGTTCGCATGAATTGATAAGTTCATTGAGCCTAATTTTCTAGTGATTAGTCCATCTAACTAGAGAACTGTTTAGAGTAGCAGTTTAAAGATTTCTACCTGATCTTTCTTGGTCCTGATCAACTGCAAGGAAAGCAGTATCATCAGTAAATGTAGCTACAGTCATATCTTCCAGAGTTGTAAAGTAGGTATAAGATAGGTACAAGTACACTTCCTTGAGGCATACCAGCTCTTATTTCTTTTAAATTAGAATATTCGTATTCTTGGATGATTCTGAAAAGCCTGTCTGAGATAAATCTCTACATATTGTTTCGGAAGCATTTTTTTAAGTTTGTGAACCAAACCTTTATACCACACCTTGTCAAAGGCTTGGGCAATGTCTAAAAATACTGCAGAATAGACTTGTTTTCCGTCAAGGGCATGCTCTATGATATCTGTGATTCTGTGCACTTGGTCAATAGGAGAATTTGATTATGAAAATAGGACATTTATACAAACACTTTTTAATAGTAGTGATTTTGTTGAATAATAAAAAGTTATTTTTTACTTAGACATACGCTGCTGACATATTCTTCGCACAAACTTGGAAGGACCACAGATTAAGATTGCCTGAAAATATGACCACTGAATATCGGCTTTTGGAAGTGGAATGGTTAAAAAGTATGTGGAGACCTGATTCGTTTTTTAAAAACGCAAAATCTGTAACGTTTCAAACGATGACAATCCCAAACCATTACATGTGGTTGTATAAAGATAAAACGATATTGTATATGGTAAAGTAAGTATCACTAGAACTTCAAAATTAATAATATCAATTACTAAAATTTTAAAATATTTATGTAGGCATAAAGTATAAGTAAAATGCAGTCTTAAATGTTCGACTAGACCTATGTATTTTGGTACTATAGTACTATATTTTCTTGTAGTGAAGTAATTTCATTTTTAGATATAGTTATTTATGTTTTTAGACTGACATTGCGATTATCTTGCGCAATGAATTTCATGATATATCCACACGACACGCAAGAATGTAAATTACAAATGGAAAGTCGTAAGTAAAAACGTTCAGAATAAAGGTTAATAAATTAACGTTAATAAAGGCTAATAAACGTTAATAAAAGTTATTAAACGTTAACAAACCTTGTTAATAAACGTTAATAAACGTTAATAAACGTTAATAAACGTTAATAAACGTTAATAAACGTTAATAAACGTTAATAAACGTTAATAAACGTTAATAAACGTTAATAAACGTTAATAAACGTTAATAAACGTTAATAGACGTTCTTTTAACAGACTGTTTTTACTTTTGCAGTCTCGCATACTACAGATGATATGATTTTCCAATGGGATCCTGATGTTCCATTGGTAGTCGATGAAAACATTGAACTACCTCAATTAGCGCTGGTAAAAAACAATACAGCAGATTGTACTCAAGTATATTCAACAGGTAAGTATTTTGCAAATGAAGCTTATTGACCATTGTGTATTTTTTATATTTATATCGTCTCTTTGAGAAAAGAAACCAAAAAAACTTGATTTTGCACAAATTATTGGTCAATTAGTTAGTAACATGCCAAATTTTTTTAGAAATATGCTTAAAAACGAAAATATTAAATACAAACATGTCATTTTTCCACCAACGATAAAATAATGTAATATAAACATATACTGGGTGATGCTACTGGCGATGGATAAAAGGCCGTAACTAAATTACTGGAACCTTGGAGATATCGATTCTTTCTGGACTGCTCTCGAACATTCGAGTAACCATTAGGAGGGTTAAATCAAGCGGGACGAGCAGAACAACTTTTAACAAAATAATAGTCTTAAAATGGGTTCCATTTTGATTCCAATTGATTTAAAATTACGGTCGTTTGATCATTTTCAAAATTTTTGTTCCCTCTATGTATTTTTTATTTTATTTTAGTTACAATCAATACCTATTTTATTGTAGGAAACTTCACATGTCTGGAAGTAGTTTTTGTGCTAAAGAGGAGACTGGGTTATTACTTATTTCATACTTATATTCCGACATGCTTGATAGTTATTATGTCGGTGAGTATAAAAATCTCTGTGACTATGTATTTATGCATTTGATTTTATAGTTTTATTAATAACTCCAATTAATGAATATAGTTATTTGTATTTGTTCCTATTCACCCAATATCATTATTTTTATATTACAACAATATCCATATATTATTGATATCATAATACTCTTCATTTACCCGAAACAACAGGAGTTTTTGACAGTATTATACTGACACCGCCTATATTATTATATTTCAATAATACCTAATTTAATATCTAATATTTCTAAATTTACTGAATACGTTTCTGCAAACTATCAACACTTCTTTAATGCGCAAGACAAGTAGCCTGGTATTGAATAAACTGTACTTTTACTTACTGTTTAAACATCAAATTTAATTTTTAGTGGGTATCGTTTTGGATTAAACCTGAGGCAGCTCCAGCACGAGTTACTTTAGGAGTAACATCTTTACTTACTTTATCCACACAACATGCGAAAAGTCAGGCTGCTTTACCGCCAGTATCGTATCTAAAAGCTGTAGATGGTTTTATGTCCGTTTGCACCATGTAAGTAAAAATTATATACTTAGTCCATTTCATATATTTTCAGGTACACCTGCATTCTATTTCTATACAGGAACGTATGTTATTACAACAGAGAACATGCGGGCCTATGCCTAATCTAACCTAATTAACAAACGATTTACCTTATTGTAACATAATTTGGATTCCCTACTCCTTCCTATTCATTCAGCTCATGTATTCTTCCATCCATTTTACGGGCTAAATGGAGTTCGGTCATCCACTCAAGCCGTAACCAAGCTATCACTGCTGGTTACTTGTAATCTCGATGTATTTTAATTCCTTTTCGCAGCAGCCAGCGAGCCAAGAGCAATAGTGGCACAACTAAAAAATTTCAAAAATCATAAATAAATGTAGTAAGCACTAAACTTAAATTTAGTACTTTCTCTCCAAGCAACGCTGGCCCATTTTTAGTTAGTATTATTCTCCAAGATGGCGAATATATTGGTAAAGCATTATAATAAGTTTTGTATTCAAGCTGGACCAATAGTGTCACATAATCAGTATGCCATTTACTATGTTAGGGTAGGTTTCTTTATGTTTGCTCTATAGTGGCACTTTTGATGAAAATTGATTTAATATTTAATTACCGAAAAATAGTGATACATTTTTAAATATGTCAGTATAGATGTGACATTTTAAGTGTTTAATTTACTATTTAGATGTCGAAAAATAGTGTTACGCTTTAAAATATGCTAGCATAGACTTTAAATTTTAAGTATTTTTGAATTGTGTCTATATTAACTTGAAATTAGTGAAAATATGTTGTTTTAAAAAATAAATAAATCGAATCAAGTCATTACTCGTATCTAAGAATTTATATCCAAAAACTAAATCAAAAACAACGCCAAACTTCAAATTCCTATTTATGATCTATCAATTTTGAGTAAAATCAACAAACATTTTAGACTCAATTTTTCTAAAAGTACTATTTTTGAGATATGCCATTATTGCCGTTTATATCTGATTTTTTTTTATTCTTGCTTGTACTTGGACGTGATTGGGTGTTGTCCCTTTAAGTTTAGTTCTTGTGGGTCTTGTTGTAATTGCCATTCTTCATGAATTAGCGTGTCTATATCATATTTTTGACTGCTTTAAAAAAAAGTTATTTTTCTTTGTAGTTTTATTTCTTAACTATTCCAATGGTCCAACTAACGTTTTTTCGTAATCACAATAAATAAATTATTATCATGGTCCAACAAACGCGCACCTTAAGCCGAAACCGGCATCGCCTTTATGAGGGAGCCGGTAAGGATGCCGCTGCTTACAATCGTATCTGGTCGACTAGGTATAGGTCTTTCACTGAATTTACACCCATATCGGTTTAAGAAACAGATGCACGACTGAGCCGGTCTACAGGATAATAAAGGGATATCATGATATATAATTAATCTATTATTTATGACAAAGTAATTTACAATATTTTATTGGGGTCTATTCTGTAACAATTACTTTATATTTAACGGCCTTTAAAAATATTGGCGGCCTTTAAAAGTATATTTGTATTTGTTAATTTACTTCGGTTATTATTTAAACAGATTTCTTTAAGATAGTCCTCTAATGTATTTTAAAGATCCGTTTAAATAAAGACAGAAGTAAAGAAGAAAATATTTTTAAAGGCTGTTAAATATAAAGGAATTGTTACAGAATAGACCCCTATACCCCATTATCTTTTTAATTTAAATTACAATTTTTTTTAATAGATTCGTTTTCATGGCTTTGATGGAGTATTGCCTTGTAAATATCGTACTAGGAGATTCGGACGCCCCAAAACCACCAGAGAAAAATCCACCGAATAATTTAGAGAAAACTTCCAAGGAAAATTCATTATTATTGACTAGCAGCAAGCCGCCATCAAAAGGAGGAATACCTCTGGCTATAAGACAAAGAAATAATGCTATAAATATCGATAGATTCTCTAGAGTGTTTTTTCCTTTGTTATTTACTGTTCTTAATTGCACTTACTGGATTCTATTTGCAGAATATATTTAATATCATTTTTCTTTCATGTAAAATAGGAAAAGTAATATCTATAAATTAAAAAATAATAATTTCAATGTGTAATTTTTTGTCAAAAGATCGAAACGTATTTTAATGATAAGTTTATTCTAGAAATTTTGTACATTTAAAGATAAATAGATAATGTAAAAATATTTTCTCACAAAAATCGTTGCCAATCGTTTTATTTTGTAGGATATGATTGGAAAAATTTATTGGAATTTTTTGGTAATAATAATCGAAGATTGTAATAGATATAGATAATAAATAAATTTAAAAATAAGTGATAATCGGTATAATACAATATCATGTTTAAAATGTTGCCTGTTCAAAATAATTTCTGAATCCTGATCTCCTACAAAGTGCTGGCAATGTCAAACCTTCAGTCGTTCTTTGCTTGTAAAGGATCGAATAGTAAATGAAGTTCGCATGTGCAAGAAATGAAAGAACGTTTTATCGACGTTGCCTTTAATCAGTCGGTAGCTGGATACCGATCGCTAACTAGTCCTGTGAATGGCAATAATGATTGTGTCCTTTCTTTTTCCGCATTTGCAAGTACTATTTACTATTCACTTCAACACAGGTAAAGCAAGAACAAAAGTTCTTGCCAGCACTATAGAATTCAACCATTTTTGTGCGAAATCAATTTATAATATTAAAATCTAAAATCTGTGTTTTATTTTATCAATATTTTTTTTTAAAGGCATTTGGTTATTGGTTACTTATGTAGGATAATTAAATATTTGACCCGCTTTAAGCAATCTATATAACTATATTATATCATTGACCTTGGCCTAGTCAAAGACAACAGGTCCACAGCGTTGCCATATCATAAACCACAGGTATCATTTCAAAAGATAGTTTTATTGTTATTTTGTGCTCTAATAAAATGTAATTTTCATATTCAATACTGATTTAAAATCACAGAACAAACACCACCTTCGTTAAAACTGTAATTAAATTGATTTGACATAAAAAAAGGTAATAATTATAAAAAGAATTGGAAATGACAGGTTTGTTCTGGTTCTCAAAATGAAAACTGTTTTGAAACTGCGCCGGACTGTATGCGTAAAGGCAAAAAATCCCCGACTGTTTGAAATTGTTGGAAAACCAGAACACATAAAGGTGTTTTGTTTATTGTTTATTATAATAATGAAGTTCCTTTTGAAAGCTCAGCTTCAAATAACATTTGCATGTATGTTTACCATTATCATCACATTTCAATGGAATAAATAAAAACAGAATAATATTAAAAAATTAATAATTCTAAAATTGCTTTAATTTACAAATAAAACAAGAACAAGAGACATTCGTCCACATATAAATAAACAATTTGGGATTGTATACGTTTCGTATAGTCTAAAAAGCCAATACAATATTCATAACACTTCAAAAACGCATGCGCGGTCAAAACAGTCCGAGTCGATCCACACTCCCAAGCATGAACACTTTTTGACTGTTTACAACAATCACGGATTATTTCGGATATGAAACCAGAACACTGGACTGAGAGATCTGAAGTAGTCCCAGAAAAACCAGAACACTTTTTATCTACTGCGCATGAGCCCGACAGTTGTGGATCGTTATTTCTCAAAACCAGAACAGACCTGACATATCATTTCAGATATTTATAATTTTCTATATTTTTGTTAATATCTAAAAACACATTCGAATTTAAAATAATGTATGAGACACGAAAGAAAAGTAATTTTTCGGATTTGTAGGAGTAGACAATTCAACTCAACTTCTGTGTGTATGTGTGAGAGAGAATGGCATTAGACTAAGTCTGTTTGCCACGACTTCTCGTTCTTGTAACATAAACTATTATTATTATTTGACTTTGTAATCAATTATTTAGAAACTTCTATCTCAATCAATTTAATTATACTTACATAGATCATTTTGAGCAGTTGAAAAGACATCAATTTTTATTGTAGTAGAGTAGAAAAGTCACAAAAGTTAAAAGTATATAACACAATTTATTATAAAGGTAAATTATAACGATAATCTATAAACTACCAAAATTACAGATGTACACCTATTTTAATTTGAAATTCGCAAGTACCTATGTACCTGACCTTGATTCAATTGGCACCTAGGTTTTTGGCCAATGAATCTCGCCGTTTAAATATAACTGTCAACCGGAAGAAAACTCACCAACGCCAACTTCATTTTAGACGGTGTATTTTTTTGGTAGTGACTACTGGGTCTAAGTACTATTAACTAAGTTAGCGATAGATGGCGATAAGATGTACTTTTACGTAATAATAATTCAAATGTGCAATTATCCTTCGTTGCCATGTTTTATAGGTCGTATTATTTTTATTTTCCAAATGTTCGGTCGATAACGAGTAGGATATCGATCTAGGGGTCGTATTTAAATGATTGTATGGCCTATACAAATTTTAGGACGTTTTTATCGAAACTACCTAATTGGTTTTTATAGTATTAAGTGGTGGTATAACTTATATAAAGGAAGACCCGTTGTTTAAACATGGTATAATATTGATGTATATATGCCGCGTTTGAGAATCCACATCGGATACATCTGAGATGTAGTAATTCTTTGATCACGTGATTCAGTATACATAAATGTAATGGGACAGATGTGTCCGAGATGTAAAAAATGCATCCGATGTGGATTCTCAAACGCGGCAATAGATACACTATGTCTCTTCGCACATTTTAGTCCAGGCAATAAAGCACTAAAAAGGCCAAAAGTTAGACTAAGACGGATCGGAATGTGGTTTTTTGCATTCGCTTTCAAAATTTTTTTTGGAAAAAATGTTCCTACTTTTTATCTTATACAAACCGGAAATTGCATTGCTGCAACCAAAAATGCATTTTTTGAGACGGCTTTTGGAAGATTAAAGAACTTTGTAAATAAGAGTCAGAACTGGCCCAAATCGGGTCCCCGGAGGTGTTCGAGGTCGCTGATCACGATTATGATGTTCAAATCGACCCACAGCTGACCTGAAGTTTAGGAACGCCGATGAAAGTCATCTCTGTGGGACACTCCCGAAATTCATGCACCCCTACAATGTAAGTATACACCGAAACTTTCTCTCTTGTCAGGAAAATTCTCGGGGATGACGTCCAAGTCCAGATTCGGGAGCACCAGGTGCCCGTAAGGTATTTTCGACCATGCCACATTTGAATTCAGCGACCCAACAAACCCCCGAGCGCCGAGTTCCTTTCCATCCCCGTTTTATACAGGAAATTTGGATTTAGCGCCTCAAAAAACCCTCATAACAATTTTCTGTTCGTCTTTTTCGATTATGTGAGAAAACCCCACGAAGATGAGGTCCGCGTCCAGGTTCCGGTGCACCAGGTGTTTAGGGGATCATTTTAGACATGAAATTTAGATTAAGCGCCCAAAAAACGCCCCTACAATAATGTTCGGGTTATTTTTGGCGATCTTGTCAAGAAAATTCTGGGGGATGACGTCCACGTCTATGTTTAGGCGCACCAGGTGTCCGGGGGGTATTCTCCGATGCCACATTTGAATTTAGCGCCCCAAAAAACCCCCCTAACGATTTTTGGTTCGTCTTATTCGATTGTGTGAGGGTAACTCACGAAGATGAAGTCCGCGTCCAGGTTCCGGTGCACCAGGTGTTCGGGGGTCATTTTTGATGGGAAATTTGGATTCAGCGCCCCAAAAAACTTCTTCACAACGATTTTCGGGTTGTTTTTGGCGATCTTGTCAGGAAAATTCTCGGGGATGACGTCCATATCCAGGTTCCGGCACACCAGGTGTCCGGGGAGTGTTCGACGATGCCATGTTTGAATCCAACGACCCAAAAAACTCCCGGGCGCCGAGTTTCTCTCCTTTCCCGCGTTAATTTCGGGAGAGTCCCACGGAGATGACGTTCATCGACGTTCCTGAGCTCCAGGTCGGCTGTGGGTTAATTTGAATATCATAATCGTGATCAGCGACCTCGAGAACCTCCGGGAATCCGATTTGGGCCAGTTCTGAGTCTTATTTATAAAATTCTTTAACCCGTCTCAAAAAAATGCATTTTTTTAATGTATTTTTGGCTGCAGCAATGCAATTTCCGGTTTGTATAAGATAAAAAGTAGGGAAATTTTTCCAAATAAAAAATTAGAAGCGAATGCAAAAAACTGCATTCCGATCCGTCTTAGTCCAAAAAATTCCGACTTTTTTTTTTCATTGCTTCGACTATTTTTCACGTCTTTTCAATCGAAGTGAGGACCTATCGCAATTTTTCTACCCTCATTTTAATTATCTACCTGAAAATAATTCTAATTATCAGAATTTCCAAAAATCAGCAGGAAATGTAAATTTCACTAATTGCGGTAATGTAGCCAGAACCACGCAGACGTTTCTAAGCGAAAACTTCGTTTTTATCTTAGATGGCTCTGGTGTCAGATTCTAGAAGTTCGACTGACCAATCAGAGAACTCCTTCTAAGCGTCCATTTTTCCCGTTGTTTAAAACTTTAAAGTTGTCCAACAAGAAGCTGTTGAGTGTTGAGTGTTAGTGAAATATACCAAATTTTCTTTAAGAAAATAATGTTCGGTAAGTGTATTTATGCATATTATTGTAAGGTAAAAGATATTTATTAGGTATAGATAATATTTGGGGGTGTGCTGCTGTGGTTACTTTCTATATACCTACTTACTTAGGTAGGGATATTGTAGGTAGTTGAATACCACCATTTTGAAAAGATTAGGCAATGAATAAAATATAATAACCAACTTTAAACCACGGTTTATTTTGGAGAAAGTGTAGGCAGGTATTAATACGTAAATTTTAAAAACTTTTAATGCAGGTATTCCTCAATTTACGTTTGAGCAAGTTGAGTATATATCTAGAGCGTAGGTAGGGATACCTACCTATCTACAGCACAAAGCCCCTAAGCTACCTAGGTACAATTTAGCAGTTTCCTTAGCTAAAAACAAATATTTTTATGATCAATTATATCTGAAATGAAAAATATTGACTCTAGACAAAATACCACCAACTAACCTATAATCTTTATAAAACGCCTAAAGTACTTTTTCTTTTTCAGCTTATTTAGGTTTCACAGTGGCGAAAGATTTTTCGTGTAAAGGTAAGATAATGAATGCATTGAAATAAATAAGTAGGAATTGCAAATAAATAAATAAATATTTAAGAGTAATGGATATATAAAAACTATGTAGCCATAGGCAAACTATTTTATAATTGATTTTTCTCATTTTATACGAGGGACAGGCGCAAACATATGGGTATTTTGGTATACTAGATTCTAGGTACGTTTTGCATACGGTTAGGATCTTTAAAAAAAAAAACACCTATATTTTAGCAGACAGTGGCGTAGTCAAAATTTTATATTAGGGGGTATTAAAAAAATTGGGAGTATTTAGAAAATATATTTTTTTTGCCTAGATTAACTTTTTTAATTACCAAATCGTGTGGGTCTGGAAGGGGGGGGGGGATTTAACCCCTAAAACACCCCCTCGATGTGGGATTGTGGCAGAGAGACTTTACAAAAGTGAGATATTTTGCTAGTCGTCCAAAAATTTTTTTCAGATTTTGATTTCGTTGGTTAAAAACCAAAACGACGTAACAGAAATTTCTTTAATGCTAAAAATATGTCGAAGATATACATCATTAAGGTTTCTAAATTGGTTCTAATTTCTAATTCATTATTGTACCTATTCTCTATTATTGTACTTTTGATAGTACCTTTTACAAAAATAAGTATCAAGGTGTCTGTAATGTTGATAACTAAGTTTGCCATTTTTTCTGTTACGTCGTTCTGGTTCTTAACGCTCGATTTAAAGTGTAAATTAATCTAATTATTTATAAATAAATATAGAGCTAAATCATGTTATTGGGTTTCACTCGATTTTAAAAATGTTAGTGAACCTCTAGGTTAGTTTTTACTTTTTTGTTCTAGTTAAAAAACACTTTTATATCCATTAAATAAAAAAAATATAAGAAACAATGGATGAAACGATATTTAAAATGCTCAATCATTGATAGGAAACTTTTAAATTTTTACTACAGTTTTTTTTTGAGTGTTTGGGCATCGTTGATGTTATTACAAAAGCTCAATGTTTTTATATATACATCAACGATTTTGTTTGGGATCATTCCCTTTCTCTCTAACAATAAAGATATTTGATTCACGCTATTCACATCCTTTGAAATTATTTACTAAGAGGGTTACACCTCTTAATTAATTTCTGATGTAAATTTCTGGATTAAATGTACAAGGCTGCAGCAATATAAGCTCGGTGATATCTTATTATAATTATTAAAATTACCTGAATCAATCACAGATACAAATTTAAAATTCTCCTTTTAAAGTGTTTGATTTTGGAATGTTAATAAATTGTAGAGTATCTAGGGGCTGTATTAGAGGCAGGGAATGATAGAATGTTTGTTGATGTTGGAATGAACTGACGTTGCCGGGTACAGAAGATTTCCGGAGTGTTAGAAAATGTCGAGATGTAGATCGAATAATGGGTGAAACGAGAAGTAAAATGGACCAGTCATTAGCGGGATGAAAAGAAATAAGAAATGTTTTTATAAGGTGAGTCTTCTTTTCTAACATAAATATTCGATTTTGACTGTTCTACACAGTTTAAAAAATGATGG